GTGGTGCACAGCAAATTCCTTAGCAAAACGCTGTTTGGAGGCCCAGTGATTCTGTATGTGGCTGTGTTTCTGCAACCACCAGCTGTTCTGTGACTGTCCCACTGGTATGTGCCTACTGTGGCCACAGCCCCTCACTCCCTTTCTCCGTGCTCTGCCTGAACCTTCTCGCCACTTGACCAGGAAACCCACTTTGGTTCTTTCCTGTGTGGCTTCCAGATCTGAGGTGTGGCTCCAGGTTCGTCCTGTGTCTTATGCCCTGCTCTGATGCCTCTGACTAATGGTGGGCAGGCTCAGCTCCTATCCCCTTCCCGACCCCTTCCTGTGAGATGAGGCCTGGGGCCTCTGCACGGTGCTTGGTACTTGGAGTTGCAGCCCCCAGTGCCCTCTGTGGGGCGGCGTTGTTGGCATGGGGGCTGGCCATACTTTGGAGCACAGCCCCACCCACCAGCACGGTGGCAGCTCACGGTCTAGGCCCCGTCCCCTGCCACAGCACTCTTCATCTTGTCCTATCTCAACCTGCAGCCTTTGTTTCCCAAATGACCTTTGTAGAAGTCCTTTTCCCCTTTCTCAGTTGTTCCCAGCTGCTACTCCTAAGCCACAGCCCCAGGTTCTAATACTTGTTTTCATCCGTGATTCTCTAACTTCCATTAAACCTACCTTCTGGTTAAGCCCTCCTTCTGCCTTCCAGTTCCTTCCCACCTTTCCCCACCCCCCGTAGTTTGAGTCTTGAACACTCACACGCGTATCCCTTCACATGGAACACCAGAAGGGTTGACCTCCGAGCTGCCAGGGTGACCCAGGGGTGTAGAGGTCAGGCAGGGGGATGGAGAGGCACCTCTGCTGATCTCAGTTTCTGGACTTACTGAAGTCTGGATGTTCATCATTTGGAATCTGGGGACTTTAGGGATCTGGTATTAGGTGGGTGAAAAATGGGAACTGACTGGTTTATTATCATTTGCCTTTAAGATGTCACAGGTTGCACTTTGTGGACGCTCTGCTTCCATCCACCTTGCTTCAGCTTGTCCTTTTCTTTCCTGTCTTCCCCGCCCCGTAAGTGGCCGATTCTGGAGCAGGAACCGAGTTGCTTGTTCCGCTGTTGCATCTGCGTAATGACAGTCTCCTTTGCCCGAGTGTGCTTGAGGGGATGGTTTGCCTGCACCCGAGCTGCCTCCCTGTACTCAGCTTTTCCCTCTCCCCTGGGGACCTTACCACCTTTGCACCTGCGATCAGGTGCTTCCCACAGGCTCTGAGGATTTGAGAATGTCCAGGACTCTCTGCCGAGGTATTTTTCATCACTGCCTGCATTGATTTTTAAAAGCAAACTTTTTCATTTTATACTTAATATCGATTACTGTACAGTTGTGTTTTAGAAGTACCATTGTACATGGATCCTTTATTTAGCCTGGAGGGAAAGGTGAGGGGCATAAAGTCCGTGGCACTCTCTCAGCCTATCGGAGGGGAGGAGGGCCGGCAGCAGGCTCCATGAGAGAGCAGGTTTTGGCAGCCAGGGAGCTTGTTTGGGGTGACACTCGAATCCGTGAATTCTGGTGAGTTCGAACACCAGAATTCTCTGACCCGTGTGCCTGTGAGCTTTTGACCATGTATAGCCATTGTCATTTAGAGTTTGATAACGGCATAGAAGAAATTCCGGGGGATACTTTGCACTTCCCAGGAGTAGTGACCAATGAGGTTCGTTGGGAACACGTAGATGTTCAGGTCACAGGGGCCAGGGTTGGGCTCCTGGTCCTGTGCGTGGGATCCTGGGTGAGCATCACAACCTCTCCATATCGGCCTGCTCTGCCCACAGTGCTTCTGGAAAAGATGAAGATGACCCTCTGAAGTGCCCAGCTGGGTCAGTGTAGGCATGACTCTTAGCAATGATAGGCAAGCACACACTGACTTAAAATACTTTGTTTACTCCACTGCAGTGACCTTTAACATGAATAGAATAAGTATTGTAGTCTTAACAAAAGTTAATGGTTATATTATGGGGGAGGAAACAAATATTTGATTCTGTTGCTCAACAAAGAGCACAGAGAATCATGGAATCTTACATTTGCTCTCTGGTTTGCCCCTTGGACCCTCTAGGAGAAACTAGTTTCCAACAGTTTTTTTTGTTTTTTGTTTTTAATGTGTTATCTTTCTTTTCTTTCTTTCCTTTCTTTTGGAAGAAGATACTCTGTTTTGGATCTTTTGATGACAAAGTGTCTCCAGGTACTCTGTTCAGTGGAAGTGCCAGTGGGTTTGGGGCAGGAAGCCTGGGTGTCCATCCAAATGCAGCTTATCAGTGATTTATCAGTGACTTTAGGAGCCTGGAGGGGGTCACTGGAGACTGGGTCATGTGATCTCTGAGGCTCCTTCAGAGTTTAGGCTTGGTGATCTTTGACCTGCAACTTTGTAGAAGAGTATTTCTTCAGAAATATCCCTGATTAAATTGCTTTTCTTAGTGTCTAGCCCGTTAGTTAATCAAGCCCCATGAAAGGTATCTAATGCTTAGAGTCCTGTGCGTTCTACTGTTGTAGTGATTTGATAAGCTGCGCCTCCTGCTCAGAAAACATTTGTGCACTTCACTTAGAGCTAGTTTCCCTGTGCCACCGGTAATTTCTGTGGCCTTGGACAGGTTACTTATTCTCTCAGCGCCTATAGAGTTAGGTTTGTGGACTAACAGGTTTTAGGTCATGGACTCCTTTGAAAGCCTTGCCCTCTCCTTCCATAGAAATGCATCTCTTCACAAGGTTTTGCATTTATTTTCAGGAAGCTGAGTGGGAGAAACCTGCCCAGGGCCCCCCAGTTAGGAACCCCTGGGCTAGATACTCTCTCAGACAAAGATAGTAACAAGAAGCCTTTATCTAGCTTTTGCTAAGCACCAAGCACTGATGTAAACCCCATCTAGTCATTAACTCACTACTCCTTACAACAGCCCTGTAAGGTAGGTGCTGTTATTATCCCTATTTTACAGGTAGAGAAACTGAGGCACGGAACTTGCCTCAGAGTCCCACAGCTACTAAATGTCAGAGCCAGGGTTGAGACCCAGGCAGCCTGGCTCAGGGTCTGTGCTCTGAACTAACACCCTATTGCCTTGAAACCTGGGTCGGCTAGTTTCAGAAAGAGGGGATCTGAGTGCATTGAGTGGATGTGGGTGAACAAAAAGCATGGAGGCTGGAGGGCCTTGACCTGGGCTGGGTCACAGAGGAGCCTGGGCTGGCTCCATCACAGGTGAGGCAGGCCACATTGGAAGGGAGAGGTCACCTTTTGGGTAGGGGACAGACGTGGCAAAGGGCTACAGGCAGAGTTTTTGAGAGAGCCACGTTTAGGAATGGGAGGAACAGGAGGAACCAGCAGCAGGACAAGGAAAGTAGGACAAGCACCAGGAAAGGACAGTGCAAAAGTGCACTGGGGAAGGAATTCAAGGAGTGGGGTGTCAGCCAGCTCAGGGCTCTCCGAGAGGTCAGGAGGCATGGCAGGCAAAGAGGTAGCCTCCACCCTGCACTGGTCAAGAGATACAGGAGGCAGAGGCCCTGGTGCAGAGAGTTGGGAAGGAAGCAGGTGGAGAGGTGTGTTAGCAACTAACAGCAGGGCCTGGGGCAGATCATATCTCCTCCGAGACCTCAACTGTTTCTCCAGCTGCCAAAAGGAGGTGATAACAGTGCGAACCTCCTAGCTGTGCAGTGAGGACTCAGTGATAACCTGCAGGCAAACCCATCACAGGGCCCCCTACAGTGGGGAGCGTGAGGTGCTCCCCTTTTGCTGGCACCATGACTAGTATTGGTCTCACTGAGTCTGAAGCCCTCTGTGACAGATTCTGTGGGTGACTCTGGAGTCAAGCCAACCTGTGCTCAAACCCTGCTCTTCCTCCTCTGCAGAGAAAGAAGAGAAAGCCTCTCTTGCAGGGCTCTGGGGTCATAATTAGACAGCTGCGCACACAGCATTTGTGATGCTCTCCCCATCACTGCCCAGAGTCCCCAGCACTGCAGAGGCACCAGCACCCTTGAATTCTGAGCAGCCTTTTTGGATTCCACTCATCTTACCCAAGTAGCGAAACATTCAGACATCTGAATGTCACCTCCTTTCTCAAACCAGACCCACTCTGGGAGCTCATCTGAGGGTCTCCCTGCGTCCAGGGATGAAAGCCAAAGCATGTGCCCCACATAAAGACTGGCATTTCAGGAATTTCCACGGAGCCCCATCCACAGCATCTTTGCCGCAGGATTTAGCAACACTCACCGTGTCCTGATCCCGAGGAATATGCCTGCTGTGTAGCACATGAGTCACCGTGAAGAACTCAGGTTGCTTTTTTGTCAACCTCTGTCATTCCTGGGGATGTCAGCTATTTTGAATTTGGCTTTTCTTAGTTACTTGAGCCTCAAAAAATAGAGAATTATAACAGACACACAGTAAAAGTGGCAATATTTATTTATCTCTAAGGTAGAAGGCATGGCCATGTGTATACATTGTCCTCTGGGCAGCAGTGAGGTGACAGCAGAAGTATAGATGACATTTAGCATCAATTCAGAAGGTTAGGCCTTGAGAGAATTAGGGTGTTAGGCCCTAACACCCAGGGCACCCCTTGAATGTCATGAGGTTGCTTCTGTCCTGGGTACCATCTTTGGGAAAGGTGAGAAATTAGTCCTACAGCTCATTTCTGTGTTCTCTGTTCAGCTGAGGAGCGCTGGTAATTTGAGTAATAGAGCCAAAAGCTCAAGGACGGGGACGGCAGGGAAAGGAGGTACACAGGTAAGCCCCCTATAGGTTTGCATTGAGGAGGCGGGAGTAAGCCGGTCTGTATGTTGCTGACAGCCTCTAGGTAATGGCTCACATATCACAGGTGCATTAACGTCTGTGAACTGCTGGCCTTGTTCACTGTGCTAAACGGATTCCAATGAGCTTCTCGGTCGGCTTGTAAATTTTTTCTCTCCTGTGGGCCTCGATTTCAGAATGGTAGCATAAACCACGAAAGCCATGATGCCAGAACATCTCCATTCTCGTTGTTAGAATGGAACCAGAATTACACAGTGCCCCCAAAACCCAGACCTCCACCTTTAAGACTTGGTGGGGTTGGCAACTCTCCCCATGAAGAGCAGGCAGCTGGTGCGGTGCTCATAGATGAGGAAGAGGAAGGGGCGGTCGACAGTGAAACGGACTTGGGTAGTCAGCGGCATGAACCCCACCGTGGTCATGGCAGCAGCCTGGGTGCCCTCCTCGTTCACCGTGATGGTTCCTTGGTGCTTGAACTATTTCAAGATGGAAAGGAAAGTTGTCAGATCCCGTCAGTGGACACACAGAGGGATAGACGAGATAGTAGAGTCTCCTCTCATTCAGGGTGGAAACACCGCATGCAAGGCACGAACCACAGCTGGCCAGAATGACCCTTGAAGGTCTCTCTCACTCCTGCCAGGTGCAGTGATTGTGCTCAGAGGCTGTGTCATATAAACAATGCATATCTCTAAACTCCAACATCACAGTTGCTCATGGTGGTGCTCATGGTATGAGTGGTCTGCCAGCAAAACGGCAGGGGCAGGCCCCATCTTCTGTGCACACTGTAGGTGCACTGCCAGAAGGGTGGGGCCTGGATCTGCATGGGTTTGTTGGACTGATATTCTCTCTTTTTTTGTGGAGTGTCTATTGTTGTGTCAAATTCAGCGTGCAGGTCATGCCCTTTCTCTGCATATATTTAACGGGTCTTTCATGATTCAGCTGGGTGTTGTAGCTATTTCACGGATTGGGGCGCATACCTCCTCTCTTTCTGCAGTCGGCAGGAATGAGGCTCACTCCCACACTGCTTCCTAAAACAGATTACCCTACCCACTCAGTGTCTGGCAGACCCAGGGAGAGCAGACCCAGCATTGCTGACCTGTGAAGTCAGGCCGGGCAGGAGGGAGGCTTTGCTGGGGGCAGACCCTGGGGACAGGTGCAGAGGGTGGATGAGGGGAGAGCTTACCAGATCGATGGTGATCCTGTGGTCTGAGATTCCTGTCATATTGCTGTCTTTGTCGAATAGTGCCGTGACCCCCATTGACTTCAGGGCCTCCACGAGGTTGTAGTTCTTCTCCAGCTTGAATTTCGGCAGAAGCACTTCTCGAGTTCTGGGCAGAGAAGAAAAGGGGGCCCAGTTTTATTGAACCACAAGTTCCAAAAGAATCCTGTTTTTCCCTCAAATGTCCACAACCTCCTTTCCACCACCAACCGCAGGTTGCTTTTACCACAGAATGGATGCAGCACTTCTTGAAATTCATATCCCAGTACTGTCAGTTGAGTTTTGGGGAAAGACCATCCATTATGATTCCAGTTCCTTAAAATGGAGGCATGGTTAATACTATGCAGTCATTTCCTCCCTACTGTGGGGTTCACGTCCCGCCTTCCAGGTCAGCAGCAGAACTATTACTGGTTTATGGTTTGAGTATCTAAAAATAATTCTCTTGTTTGGGTCATTGATTTCAGGCATTTCTTATTTTGTTAAGTAAGCAGTTGAATATCTGATCAGTGTGCAGAAAAAAGAACCCTTCACATTGGCAGAAAGTGCTAAACTTTAGTTCTCTGTCCTTGTCTCAACACATTCAGTCCTTATGGATAAACAGCAACTACAGTGCCCATGGGGCCAAGTCCAGCACACAAAGGGGATAAAGAGACATCAGACACAGTCCCCCTTCTCAAGAGTTTGCTTTCCTTTTGGCAAGCCAGGACTCACGTGTGTGAAGCAGCAAAACAGTAAAGGTGGTATGGTAACATCTGAACAACCACAATGGATCTAACTACTGGAGCTACCCAGCAGGGAGTGAGGAGGAGGGGGTGTTCCTGGGGCCTAGAAGGCTGCCCACAGCTTGAGAGATGGTGTGAGCAAAGCCCGGAGGGAGCTTGAGCTGAGGTCTGGCTGGCGTGCAGAAGGGCACCGGGCAGGCAGGGAGGAAAGAGGAGGAGGGGCAAAGCAGGTCAGATGGGGTCAGACGGGGACTGTGTCTGTGGGCCTGGCCAAGAAGCTGGGCTGCATCCCGTGGGCAGGTGGCCCATAGAGTGCTTCTGAGGCGAGGAGCCGGGGCCGGAGAGTGTCTTGGGAACACCATTTGGAGGCCAGCGCCGCATGGCTTGACGAATGGAATGGGCAGGCTGTTTAGGCCTTGCTGACTCAGGGTGGGAGGTGGGTACAGAGGGGACATTTCTAAGGAAGAATTGACAGGGCCTGATGACTCACTGGCTCACTGGGCAAATACCTTCCTCTAAGAGCCCTCTTCTGGGTTTATTGCATGTCTTGCATTCTTGTCCCAAAAGGAGACCCGAACCAGATTCACATCTTAATATGGGCCTAGCCAGTTTCCAATAAAACAGAAATGTGACTTCTCTATTCTTTCTGCCATGTTCCGCTAAAATCATAGTAACTACTTAAAACCTGTAGTTTTGACTCTGGAGTAATAAATAGTGAGAGAGGAAAATCATGAACACGTCCTTCATAGGTTATGAGGACTACAGCATTTCCTACGCAGGGAAGGGAGAGCTTATCACAGGCACCAGGCTCTGTGACAGGTGCTCAGTGTCACTTTTCTAGGTGTTTGTCTCTGTGACCCTGGGAAGTCCTAGGATCGTGCTGCTTTTACGGTTGATGAAGCCAGGGCTCAAAGCCACAGAGCAAGTAGGTGGCAGGGCCGGGATTGTTTCCGAGCTGGCTCGAAGTCACCTGCCCCTCACATCTGAAACTGTCATATGGTAGGGAGGAGGGCAGATGTGTTTCTCACAGATGCTGTCCGATTGCTTCTCACTGAGCAGGAAATTTGAGCTGAATTAACAAGACTGGCCCAGGATGGCAGTTCTTGGGTTTTTATGCACACGTCTCCCTTCTCCTTGAAATGACCAAAATTCCCATTGTTTCTGGTCTCTCCCAGCTTCCCAAAGATCAAAAGAGCAAACATTCAACCTAAAGTACCTGTTTGTCATGCTTTTCTGCCATCTCTCCACCACTTGGGGCGTCAGTTGTGTCTCAAGGGTCTTCATCCCAGACAGCTTGTGCGGGACCACGATTAGCATGCTGATGCCCCCCACATACTCCAGCATCAGGACATCGCAGTCCAGCTCCTGGTCATTTGCTGCCAGAAAGTTCCCCTTGGTCTGCATCATGGAAACTTTGACCATCTCTCGCTCATTCAACCGGAAGTTGTGTTTGTGTGTCATTTCTACTGGGAATTTATTCACCCAGGATCCTGTAAAGTCAACAAGAACAGGGCTTTTATTAAAATATTATTTTAAAGCTGTGGTCCACACATGTGAACGTGCATCAGAAACACCTGGAGGGGGGCGCCTGGGTGGCTCAGTTGGTTAAGCGACTGCCTTCGGCACAGGTCATGATCCTGGAGTCCCGGGATCAAGTCCCGCATCGGGCTCCCTGCTCAGCAGGGAGTCTGCTTCTCCCTCTGACCTTTCCCCCTCTCATGTACTCTCTCTCTCTCTCATTCCCTCTCTCAAATAAATACAATCTTTAAAAAAAAAAAAGAAAGAAACAGCTGGAGGTGTTTGTTCTGACTGTAGGGCCCACCCCCAGAGTCTCTGGTTCTGTAGGTCTAATTTGAACCAAGAATTTGCATTTCTCACAAGCTCCCAGGTGGTGCTAATGCTCCTGGTCCGGAGACTACACTTTGAGGACCGCTGTTCTAAATGATTCCAAGGTCAGAATGCTGACATACTTGTAGGAAGTATGATAATGGTAGAGAAGTTAGATAGACTGGAATGAATGACTGGTTTAGATGAGGGCACTAACTAGTTGTTTAACTCCAGCAAGATGCGGAACGTGCCTGGACCTCTACTTGTTGACCTGTAAAATGAGTAGCTTTTTGCTCGTGGCAGCTCTGTTTCGATGGTTTTCATCCCTTCCACTCTGCGACTCCATAGGGACTAACAGGATACACTGATGATGCCATCAGATCTTCATGTCAGATTTGGGTAAAATGCTGTGTGTCCAGGAGTGAGTACATGTCTGTTTTAGCTCTAAGATGCTAGTAACTATAATAATGGCTTCTCACTGACAACTGAGAACTGGCAGTGTGCCAAGCATTCCTTTAAGCATCTTTCCTGTATCCTTCATTTCCTGCTTCTAGCAACCATATGAGATGCGTGCTTTTTATTATATGCCTTGTTTTACAGATGAGGAAACAGAGGCACAAAGAAGCAAAGTAACTTGTGCACAGTTTCTATCTGGTAGGTAGAGCCCCTGGGATGAGATAAGCCTCTGCCCCGGGCTCCTCAGTCTCAGCACTGTTGACATTTGGGCAATTCTCTGTTGTGGGGGCTGTCCTGTGCATTGTAGGGTGTTTCGCAGCATCCCTGGCTTTTACCCCCGAGATGCCAGGGTTGCTTCCTCTTTCCCCCCAGGTTGCGGCAAGCACAGATGTCACTGCGCTTCTGCTGGAGCCTGTCCCATGTCGCCTGGGTTTCTCTTTCTGACTTCCTCCTGAGACCCAACCTCTGTTTTTATTGAGCTTTACAAGGCGGTTATAGTATCTGTAACTAAAAATCAAATTAGTGGGCACCTGGGTGGCTCAATCAGCTAAGTGCCTGCCCAAGGTTCTGGAATCGAGCCCTGTGTTGTCAGGCTCCCTGCTCCACAGGGAGCCTGCTTCTCCCACTCCCTCTCCCTGCTGCTCCCCCTGCTTGTCCTTGCTCTCTCTCTGTGTGTCAAATAAATAAAACTTTTTTTTTAAGATTTTATTTATTTATTTGACAGAGAGGGAACACAAGCAGGGGGAGTGGGAGAGGGAGAAGCAGGCTTCCCACTGAGCAGGGAGCCCGATGCGGGGCTCCATCCCAGGACCCCGGGATCATGACCTGAGCCGAAGGCAGACACTTAACGACTGAGCCACCCAGGCGCCCCTAAATAAAATCTTTTTAAAAAATCAAATTAGTAACAAATTGAGCTAGCGATTAAAATTATACTTCTAGACCTTCATTTCTTTTGATAAGCATCCATGATTTAAAAAAAAAGTATCCATGAAAGATTGGGTGCTACTGGCATTTCATTCCTCTGATTCCAATGTTAAATTAAGTGACCATCCAACACACAGGGTAAAGGACACACGTATATTTGCCACTCTAACCCCTTGGTGTGACACTGGTTAGTATGTGTTGGAGGTTATAAACCCACTGTCCTAGTCATTCTGAAGTCCTTGCTGGCGGGAATGGCTTGCTGCTGTGTTTCTCTGCCTACTCTTGATCTTTTGGCCAGCCTAATGCAGAGGCACTCATGTCCGGGGCACCCCATGACCAGTAGAACTGAGGGCTTTGGTGCTGCCCAGGTAATTTACACTGGCTGTTCTGAAGCTGTTCCTAAACACAGGTTAATTGCTCACAGAAGCAGAATAACCGTCACTAGCAATATCAGTGAATAACCTACTTAATATATTATATGACATTGGCATCTGCAGTTTTACTCCTTCAAGTTCATTGAGTTCTTGCCACATGCCAGGCTAGCACTCATCACTATCTGTTGCAGTGCTGCACACAGCCCTGCCAGAGTTACCATCATCTCTGTGATAAAGGTGAGGAAACTGAGTCACAGATGTTGAATGACCTGCCCGAGGCCACATGAATAAGTGGGGAGGCCAGGGCTTAAACTCCAGTTTGCTTACTTCCACGTACTTATGACCAGTAATAAAAAGTATATGTGTGTGGGGGCGCCTGGTTGGCTCAATCAGTTGAGCACCTGACTCTTGATTTCAGCTCAGGTCATGATCTCAGGGTGGTTAGATCGAGCCCCACTTCGGGCTCCGTGCTGTGTTAGAGCCTGCTTGTGATTCTTTCTCTCCTTCCCCCTTTTCCTCCTCCCCACTGCTTACATTCGCACTGTCTTTCTTAAAAAAAAAAAAAAAAAAAAAGTGTGTGTTCATTATATATATAGCATGTGTCTGTGTGTCTGTCACAAGCCTGTTAGAGCCTCAGCCTTTGATAACCCACTACAAGGCCTTTGGTGTGCCTGGCATTTGAGAGGGAAGCCCAGGGGTCTGGCTCAGCCTCCATGCCCCTCCTGCGGTCTTGGCTGCTTCAGCCCTACTTTGCCCATCTGGCGGAATGCCCGCCTGGCACAGCTACTGAAAGGCCTTGGCCCTCCCTTGGCAGCCCCACCACCCCAGAGCGGGAGCCAAGAGAGGACCCCTGTCCTTCGCCTCCCTGGGCTGTAACCAGTGCTGGAGCTAACTAGTGAGGAAGCATAGCCTCCTGGGCCTCAGGGACTGACTCTAGCTAGTGCCCACCAGGTTTTGGTGGCAGAGAGGAGAGTGGTTATGTGTCACCATGAGTCATTGAGATGTGGACCCATTCCTAGTGTCTGCCCTTTGGCTCTCTAGGCTTGTAGACTGAGGTAGAGGTTTCTTCCAGTTCAAGCCCTGTTGAGGGCACTGTGAACAAGGTCTGGATTTTACAAGTCCATTGCCCATTTGCTTCCAGGATCCCAGGGGTCCTATGTCTGTGCAGTGGTGTGGGGGTGGGGAATGTCCTCCTTTCTTGTCTGGCCCAGAATAGTTGGTCTGGAAATAATAGTTTATTTCCCCACCCCCTCCTGCCCATTAGTGCACAAGTATCCCAAAAAGGAGTTGCAGATATTAATGTTAGTCAAGCTGAACAGTTTTCAAACACCTGTCTTCAGCCCCTTGTCCATATTCCTGCTTACTGATAATTGGGAGAGGAGATGAAAAAAACTCAAATCCAAGATGGCCAAATGCTAAAAAGGTTTTTCATTTTTCTTCCAATTTACTCAAAGCACTAAAGATGGCCTGCCTGGTGCAGCCTTGGCTCTGCCCCTTACTGGCTGTGCGCCCTGGGAGCATCATTTTACTTCTCTGTGCCTTGGCGGCTCTGTCTGTAAAATGGGATGCTAATAACAAGGTTGTGATGAAGTTTCTGTGAGCATAAAGCACAGAGTTAGGGCTCAGTGTCAGCTGCTACCGTCATCTCATCCTGATCTTCCCGGTGAGCTGACCTTGTGTCTTGGTTTCCTGGATAAATCGAGCTAGAGAATACAGTTCTTGACGTTCAGTCCATCTGAACACTAAAAGAGTATGTCACAAGTTTGTTTTGAGAAACTTAAAGCTATTTCTTACCTTTAAAGTAGATGCAGTTTAGAATCATCATCTGAGTAACTGGGTCTATATTCTCCAGAGCATCTCTTATGAGACCCTTGGTGATCTTCAGAATGTGGTTATTGGTTTTCAGTATGAAGGCAGGGTCTGAGAAGTCAGCCGCCTGGGCCTCTGCAAAGTAGTACTCTCTTACTTTTCTTTTGAAGTCATCCAGGATTGGAAATTGCTTCTGGACGTAAAGATCATTGACTGACCGCAGTGTGTACCCAAAATTCCTCCTGAAGAGGCGATGAGTCAGTTTACGGAAGAGATTGTGAATGGTCATGATCTCATACTTGCTGCTGGCATTGACAAAGTCTTTGAAATGCAAAATTGAGTGCACTTGTTCATAGGTCTCCCCCTGCAGGCCAAAGGAAATCATACCCATGGCCGTGGAAATGCCCACTGGGGCTATGAAGATGTTGTCAGAAGCACAGGCCTGTTCCTTCAGCACTCGGTAAAGATTGAAAGCGAACTTGGCATTGAGGATGTTGAGACGCTGGATCCGGCTCTTGCCTTGGAAGAGCTGGAGGATGTTCCCAGCACCGGCCTCTGAATCAGTTGGCGAAACCGCATCAATGATGTCAATATAGTCATCATCTTCGCTGAATATCTTCTCTAGGTCCAGATAGTCCTCGTCCTCCTCCCCCTCTGTGATCCAGTCGTTGGTGACCGTGTTTTCCTTGTGGAAGTCGGCGGGGAGAAGGGGCATGCTCAGGTTTTGACTACTTAACTGCCCCCACTGGGGATCTGCTGATGGAGAACCTTCCCCTCCTTTCTCAAGCTGACTGGCCAGGCTGTTGCTCCCACGCATGGACATTAGGATGAGAGAAACGATGAGAGGTTGGAACAGGCGTTTCATTTTGGCAGAGCTAAATCTGGGAGAGAAAACCAGTGACGGTGAAAGGTGGCCTAGGGGACCGGCCACCGCAGTGCTCAGAGGGCAAGCCCATAGCTTTCACCCCAGAAGATGCCCTGGGAGTGTCAGTCCTTAACCATTTTAAAATCACGCACCTTCAGAGAAGCTGATGAAGATAAACAGATACTGAACATTTTGTGTGGCTTCATAAACCTACCTGAAGGATCTGTGGGCCCCAACCTGAGAATCCCTTCAGTAATATACATATATTCCTGGGGACTCAGTGTTCCCAGGGAGTTTCTCTTTTATTCACTCACCAAACTTTGTCTGCTGTCTTCCAAACAACATCACTGGAGGCACAAAGGTGTCCCCCACCAAGGGGCTCTGCCAGCCAGACAGGGAACAGAGGTGCAGTAAAGCAGAGGGGCTCTCGTAAAGACACTACCAAAGCAGATGGCGGTGCAGAGCTGGGGTGTGGCCCTGTCTCCTGGGGTAGGATCGGGCTGCCAGGGGAGCTTCACCAAGCTTCCCTGGGAGGTGGGGTCTGAGTGGAGATGTTGAAAAAGGTGTATGGGCCAGGCTTTCTGCAAACAAATATCCTAAAGATATGTGAAATTTGTGTTGTTATTTGGGGTTGTGCAATTTGCATAACATTTGGAATTTGTCGTGATGCAGAGATCCTCTGGGTGCCTCGTGGAAGGTGGCCAGCAGCCTGTCTTTCCCCTGGAGGCCTAGAGGCTGTGAGGCTGTATGGCTTACCACAGGTGTCCTCTCTTCTCTGCATCTGTTACTTGGCTTCTACTGCTGTCAGGAGGACCTACTAAATCTTTTTTACTGAACTGCTTCTAGCATGGGGTTAGGAGCAATCTTACCAGGTGTATAAGGTCTGTGTGAGGATGATGTCGGAAAGCTCTCACTAGAAGGCCTGAGGGGCAGTCCCTTTATTTAAATAAGTTTTGGGGCACCTGGGTGGCTCAGTCGGTTAAACGTCTGCCTTCGGCTCAGGTCATGATCCCAAAGTCCCGGGATTGAGCCCCACGTCCTGCTCCCTGCTCAGCAGGGAATCTGCTTCTCCCTCTGCCACTCCCACTGCTCTCTCTCATTCTCTCTAATATAAATAAAAATCTTTAAATAAATAAGTTTTTAATACATACACTGTGGTAAGCCTGTCTTTATCTACCCATCCTGTGCCTTGTTCCAAGGAAGGATGTATCTTGACTTGTCACATCAGTTTTACCTGCCAAATGGCTTTATCTTTCTCTTGCTCACTTCCTGCATATTAATTGCATTCTGGGTAGATGAGCTATTATTCGATGTTTCTGTGTTTCTCCAGGACGGTAACAGCAGGCACTTATAATGTTCTACCATTGTACGTGTCACTTCTGAGCAGCCCGGAAAGAAGAACTGTGTCTCGTCAAGTTTGTTGTGTGTGTGTAACCATCTCCTATTTGAGGACCAGAATATCTGCTTCCAGTCTAGGCCAGATAAGAATTACTGGCGTCTATTAAGTAAATATGTGGACTTGTTAGTCTGAATTTGGGCCTAGCTATACGGATACCCAACTTGTGATACTCTCAGTTTTGTTGATGTTGATGACAGCAGTGACTTTTTTTTTTTTTAAGATTTTTATTTATTTGAGAGAGAGAGAATGAGAGAGAGAAAAAGCACATGAGATGGGGGGAGGGTCAGAGGGAGAAGCAGACTCCCTGCCGAGCAGGGAGCCCGATGCGGGACTCGATCCAGGGACTCCAGGATCATGACCTGAGCTGAAGGCAGTGGCTTAACCAACTGAGCCACCCAGGCGCCCGACAGCAGTGACTCTTGATAGAGCATCTGCTCGATGCCAGGTGCTGTGCAAGGAATTTCGTCTATGTAACCTAACATCATCCTTCCAACATTTTATATACCAGGATACTGAGACTTATGTCACTGTATGTGGCAGTGGAACCTCTGCCTCTTTGCCTCGGAACACTAGGACTGGTTTCTCTGTCCCACTCCCCCACCCCCCACCATCTCCCTCCTTGGGTCTTCCCATACAATACCGTGAAAATAATCAGCTCAAATGCTGTTCTAATCACCACCGAAAAACTTTTGAATCACACATTTTGGAGAGGGCAAGTCACATAAGTTTCTGACTTTGAAAATGTCTGTTGTCTTTTCCCACCCCACACCCTCCCCCCAGCATCCAGCTGAGGCTGTGGTGCTGCACACATAGCCCGCACCCGAGAAGCCATTTCTGATGTGTCTGGCTGCAGGTAGAACTGGGCCCAGTGTCCAGATAGAACTGGGCATGGATATTGATAGCAATACACTGTAACAAGTTAGAAAAGAAGAAAGCGAGCAACTTGGTGGAAGTCTTTTTGCTAGGCTGCACTTAGGAAGATCCTTCTCAGGCAAAAACAAGGTTAAAAAAAACAACTTGAATGAATAAGAGTTCAGGAAAAGGAATCTGAGACCAGATAAGGAGGCAGAGGTGAAGACGTTCATGTTTTTTACCCTGTGTTCATATAGTATATTTGGAAGCTTCTTATACCCTGTTCCTGCATTATATGATGAAAAGCCAAAAATAGTGTTCATTATTCCCTTATCAGGAAGGAGAAAAGCTCTCTGATATTTTCTGGGGATTGAAATTAAGGATCTAAAAGGCCAGTCTTGGTGCCTGGGTGGTTCATTTGATTAAGTGTCTGCCTTCGGCTCAGGTCATGATCCCAGGGTCCTGGGATCAAGCCCACATCGGGCTCCCTGCTCAGCAGGGAGTCTGCTTCTCCCTCTCCCTCTGCTTCTCTCCCTGACTCGTGCACTCTCTCTCTCTCTCTCTCTCTCACACATAACCCTAAAAAAAAAAAAAAGGCCAATTTTCCTATTATTCTGCCACTTAGTATAACAAGAATTATATATAAGACATTTTAAAACTACTACTAGGTTATGCTTAAATCAGGTGACTATCTTTGAAGAGAAGCAGTATTTTTTAAAGGTAAATCGTTCAAAAGTTTGTCTTTCTGGGAACTTTATATGGCGCTTTCTCATGCCAACTATATGGAGCAAGGTTAGCCTTTTTGGTCACACATCAGAGCATAACACCTGGACACCTTAGTCCCTCCTGGCTATGTCTTCAGGCCCAAAGAGGGCAGATGTGATGGGAGAGAAGTGACTGCTTGAAGTTTTAAAAACCTTTCACTTTGAAATAACTTCAAACATTAGAAAAGTTGAAAGACCGGCATAGAGAATAGCCCCTGTACACCCTTTTCCCAGATTCACTAGCTTTTGTATTTGGAACAGTTGCTTTATAGCTTTGTGTACACAAGCAGGCACACATGTATACTCTTTTCTTTTTTTTTTAAGATTTTATTTATTTATTTGACAGAGACACAGCGAGAGAGGGAACACAAGCAGGGGGAGTGGGAGAGGGAGAAGCAGGCCTCCTGCAGAGCAGGGAGCCTGATGCGGGGCTCGATCCCAGAACCCTGGGATCATGACCTGAGCCGAAGGCAGACGCTTAACGACTGAGCCACCCAGGCGCCCCTACTCTTTTCTTTTCTGAAACCTTTGAGAGTAGGTCACTTATAGTGTGTCCCTCTGACTTTTAATTCTAATATTTGAGGGAAAAAGTGCCTCAGGACAAGGATATTTCATGCACATCACAGTACCATTAGGCACTTAAGATAATTTAACCCAGGTGCAATACTTTCCTGTTGCAGTTCCTATTCCAGCTTTGTCTATTGTCTTAGTAATGTATCTGACAGAATGTTATATTAGGCAGGCTAAAAAACAAAACAGTTTTTCCATTTTTAAGACAGTGTAGCAAGCTTTTGAATTTGTAGTTTGATAGAGAAATGCACCAGTTACCATCTCTAACCACTGCAAGTAAGAATTTATAATAGAAACCAAACTCACCTCTGTGCTTCTGAGAAGTGGTGTTGCAGAGATGAAATGAGCCAAGGTCACCAGCAGGGTTTCAATGTGAACTTTGGTGCTGGGCCGGTGTTGGGTATTTTCCAAAGTAAATATGTCCCAAATCAAACACCATTCAGTTAGCTTTGTCAGCACAAACCTCCTCGGCTGTGTCTTTGATCTCTGCTGAGTGACTTCTGACTCCTCTGCTCCAGTTCTAGTACAGCTGGTGTTTTGAAGGCATGACTATCACTGTGTCGACGTGCTTGTGGGCACAGTCCCTGCTGAAGCCACCACATAATGAGATGCTCTTCAGAGCTCTGGGGGCTGGGTTACATTGGGGGTAGCTATAATGCTCCCCTAAAAGCAGAGGCCCACTCATCTGCCCTCCAGCTTTGGATTCTCCCACTCAGATGATCTGGCCGTGGTCTGGTCTCCAGGGCTGACGTGGCTGCAAGGCAGGTGTCCCCATGCTTCCACAAGTGTGTCCCTCGGAAAAGTGGAGGCGGGGGAGTGAGATCAGTGATTTATAGTGTAAGGAGACCTTGGTACAGAACTTTCTTCAGTCAGGGCTCACTCACTATGTTCTGTGCCAGGCTTGCAGTCCAGCTTCCTTAGCTGTTACAGGATAGGGTATTACTGAGCAGTACTCCCCAAACTCCGGTCCACCTAGGCATTCACAGGGATCTGTGGAGCTAGGATCACTATGTGTTTTTTTTTTTAATTTTTTATTTATTTGAGAGAGAGGATGAGCACGAGCGGGGGAGAGGAACAGAGGGAGAGGAAGAAGCAGACTCCCCACTGAGCAGGGAGCCCGACGTGGGGCCGATCCCTGGACCCTAAGATCATGACCTCAGCCGGAGGCAGACGCTTAACCAACTGAACCACCCAGGTGCCCCTAGAGTCACTCTTTAAAATTTATTTTAAATTCTGTAATCTAAAACATTATTATAGGAATATTCTCGGTTGTCTGGAAGACCAACTTATCACAGAGCATTGCTCCCTGATTTTGGTACCCAGGAGTGTGTTTGTTACCCAGAGGCCCTCTTATGAAAACAGGACTCTCTGCAGACTCTGTAGGCTTGTGAGGAGCCTGTAGGGGGCATCTGTGTGTTGCTCATTTTGAGAAATTTCTGGCGCGTAAAGGACTGTCCATTGCGTTTAAGAGCTGACAGGTGTGGCTGGATTTGGGTCCAGGTCAGCACTCAGTAGCTATGGTCACACATTGCTTTCTCAGAACCTTCAGTGTTCCTACTCAATACTGGGACTTCAGCATGGGCATCATTGTACAGGCCTGGAGGGCTATTACCTCTCACAGACTCCTCCAGGGCCTGATAAGCCCCATGTGATCTGCTCTTGGCCTTGTTCTCACACACACTAAGCCTGGCCCTTCTTGGAGCTTCGGCACTGGTTGCTCTTTCCGCATGAAGTCTTCCCTTAGGCCAGCCGTG